ACTTGGAGCTGGTGTACTTGGTGACGGCCTTGGTGCCCTCGGACACGGCGTGCTTGGCCAGCTCGCCGGGCAGCAGCAGGCGCACGGCCGTCTGGATCTCCCGCGACGTGATGGTCGAGCGCTTGTTGTAATGCGCCAGGCGCGAGGCCTCGCCCGCGATGCGCTCGAAGATGTCGTTGACGAAGGAGTTCATGATGCCCATGGCCTTGGACGAGATGCCGGTGTCGGGGTGCACCTGCTTCAGCACCTTGTACACGTAGATGGAGTAGCTCTCCTTGCGGCTGCGCTTGCGCTTCTTCCCATCCTTCTTCTGTGCCTTAGTGATGGCCTTCTTGGAGCCCTTCTTCGGGGCTGGAGCAGATTTAGATGGTTCAGGCATAGTGTCTGCTAAGAGCTGTGGTGCTGCTAGTTGCACTTTCCACAAATTAGGGGAGAAGGGAGGCAGCACTCATTCACTGTATATATGTTTTTCTATGTAAATCAGGAATGAAGAATCTTCAGTTCTGATTGGGTGATCACTACACTTTTGCGGGGAGGAGTATATGCAAATAAGGGCTTCACAGAACGCTTTCCTATTGGATACAATATATTTGAGCCAATCAGCCGGCCTACTGCCCTGTCCAAGGTCTATCTATAAAATGCTTTCTTCAAACTACCACAGACACATCCTTTCTTTTAGGTACTCTTGTAGCGTGTTACTTGGCAATTATGTCTGGACGCGGGAAGCAGGGCGGCAAGGCGCGCGCCAAGGCCAAGACGCGCTCCTCGCGGGCCGGGCTGCAGTTCCCCGTGGGCCGCGTGCACCGCCTGCTGCGCAAGGGCAACTACGCGGAGCGGGTCGGGGCCGGCGCGCCCGTGTACCTGGCGGCCGTGCTGGAGTACCTGACGGCCGAGATCCTGGAGCTGGCGGGCAACGCGGCCCGCGACAACAAGAAGACGCGCATCATCCCGCGCCACCTGCAGCTGGCCATCCGCAACGACGAGGAGCTCAACAAGCTGCTGGGCAAGGTCACCATCGCGCAGGGCGGCGTCCTGCCCAACATCCAGGCCGTGCTGCTGCCCAAGAAGACCGAGAGCCACCACAAGGCCAAGGGCAAGTAAAGGGGAAGTTTAGCGCCTTCCTCGATCTCAACCAAAGGCTCTTTTCAGAGCCACTCAGTTTTCACTAAAAGGGCTGGCATTTCCCGCATTGTAGCAGCTGCTTAAAAATGACCTTCAGTTTTCTCAACCTACCGGTAGGTGTCACTATCTAAACACGCAAAGGAATGCGAACTAATTAAAAAAAAAAAAAAAAAGCATCAGCAAAGTAAAATGGGTACAGAGATCATTTCTATCACTGGTAATTAAGGGGGCGAATTATCTACGCCCTCGTGGTTAAACCATGATGGAAACGGGGGTAACAACAGTCCTTGGTGAAAAGTGAATATTTAAATAGAAATCTAGTTAGGGACCGACCGGGCAATAAAAATCAGCCTTCGGTTTCTTAAGTGGTTTTGCGTCTTATGGGAAACATTCCCAACTCTCCCATCTCCAATGCTGCTGGGCCCGAGTCGATTGTAAACAGGAAAACTACATGCCCCGGAGTCATACCTTTGGGGCAGGGCTTCTAAACAGTGCAGCGTGACTTTAAAAAGCACACAACCTTTTCTCCGTCTCTCACGTTTAAGGATTTTCCCCCTTAACCCCATTTTACACAAATTTCAGTTTACTGTATAAAACTGTGGAATGCTTTATATGAGAATGCTTGTTAGAGAAAAATAAATGTTAGTGAAGTTATAATATCAAATGCGAAATAAAGCTAAGTAGAGATTTAGAAAAAGCCTATAAAACATTTTTAAATTTGTACATTTAGAGAAATGAAACTGACGGGAAATGAGCCTTCCTAAACGTGAATGAGGCACAAACATTACTTGGCCAATCACGTCTAGCGCGCGCGTTTTCAAAACGATGAAAGGGAAACCAGTTTCAGGCGCCAAAATTTAAACTTTTATTCAGCAAACGAGATGTATCATTGTAAAGTTTACCTTAAATTCTGCGGAGAAAAGCCAAAGAGCGTTGTAGAGAAAAGGCAGAGGCGAGAAAGGACAGAAAACAGCCGCGGTTGAAAGGGTGGTTGGGTGGAAGAAGTTAATTTCGGCTCCAAACGCAGGGGTGGATCTTAGGATCAGGAAGTGGACCCGCCTTCCAATAACTTCGCCGCGAGCCTTGATCGACAGGTGCCTGACCCAATGAGAGCGGGTCTCGCCTTATATATAGTGGTTGCGGGGCCAGGGTGGGATCTTTCTGGCGGCTCCCTGCACCCAGGCGTTTGGCGATGGCTCGGACGAAGCAGACGGCGCGCAAGTCCACGGGCGGGAAGGCGCCGCGCAAGCAGCTGGCGACCAAGGCGGCCCGCAAGAGCGCGCCGGCCACGGGCGGCGTGAAGAAGCCGCACCGCTACCGGCCCGGCACGGTGGCGCTGCGCGAGATCCGCCGCTACCAGAAGTCCACGGAGCTGCTGATCCGCAAGCTGCCCTTCCAGCGCCTGGTGCGCGAGATCGCGCAGGACTTCAAGACCGACCTGCGCTTCCAGAGCTCGGCCGTCATGGCGCTGCAGGAGGCGTGCGAGGCCTACCTGGTGGGGCTCTTCGAGGACACCAACCTGTGCGCCATCCACGCCAAGCGCGTCACCATCATGCCCAAGGACATCCAGCTCGCTCGCCGCATCCGCGGGGAGAGGGCTTAAACTCCCAGGGGGCGGAAACCTTGAACACAAAGGCTCTTTTCAGAGCCACCCACAATTTCACATAAAAAGGAGCTGTAATTCATTATATGTACTGAGACGCAGATTAGCGTATTCTGAGAAAATTGTAAGGGGGTAAATATTTAAGTATTACTCTTAACTAGTCGTTGTCTACGTTTCAGTGAAGTTCCTTTTAGTTGTAATTACTGCTAGTGTAGAGCAGTCACGTATACTAACCCTAGTGAGTTGTACAATACGGTTCTGATCCCTTACATCCTTCCCCGAACCCCCATAGTTTTGCCCAGTTCACCTAATCCCTGCCCTTCCTTCGCTCTGGCGATTACCACACCTTTGTGCCCATTGTACTTCGACTAATCCCTTCGCCTTTCGTCCTGCAGGCGCGACCACTCCCCTGGCCCGCGTCACACTATACACGTATCTGGGCTTCTTTGTATTTGGTCGGTTTATTCACTACCACATTTTGTGCAGTTCAATTGAATTTAGCCTGACAGTAGTTTATGAGCGAACTTATTTCTAGAGGCTCCTGACCTTACTCTTGGTTTTAAAATCCATCAAACACTACAACTAGATCTAATAGGAGTGTAGTATTAGTAAAATTCCCAGTAGTAAAAAAAACATTTCTGACTCCTGAACTTAATACTAGTCTACCCGAAATAGGATTGTAGTTCAGCCAATTAAAACTGACCTCAGTACTCACCACCAGCGATCCACTAAATACATTTATATATCAGGGAAGATAAGGCTTGCCTATCAGTATCCAAATTTCAATAGGGTTTACGATGCTGAAGGTGTCGACATGAATGTCCAAACCTATAATTTTTGAGTTCAGTTGAGCCAAAACTGACAATGATGTGGAGAATGGCAGTTCTGCCATTTTTATTCTGCATTTGATATCAGTACAGGGAGATGGGAGAAAACAAGGCAGGGATCAGATTACAGGACAGTCAAGATTGTGGACAGCTTCTAATTTGGAAGAAGAGTGAATGGGAGAATTTCAAAGGTGTGTTAAGGTAGATGCACAAGGACAATGGACAACAACTGCTTAAGGTGCAGGCCAGGAATTAAGACCCCTCAAAAAGTAGCTTTAATTTACATATATGTTTGTATGCTTGGACTAACAGCCCCAAGAATGAAGTCACATGACACCCTATTTACCATTATAGAAATTACTTAGCCTAAGGCCTGATAGACTTTGGGGAAAATAAATAAGTAGAAATAATAATAGCAATTAGAAGTAATCTAGCTCCCACCCTGCACATCAAGATAACCTATTAACGTCCAGTTAAGATGTTTTTCAGCTTACAAAGTCAACAAACACCTGAAACCGAGGGTCCTGATTTAATGTATGATTTTTATTTCCTATGTAACACCAGCCCTCTATTCAGTGTCTTCCCACCATGCCCCCTAAGCCTGGGCCCTTCTCCTTACTGGTCATTAACTCTCTGAGGCAGCCGGAAAAGATGGCCAGGCCCTGAGTCAGGGCCACAAGGTGTGGGCTTCTGTTCAAGTGAAGATGGAATAAGTTGTGTTTCAGTTCCTGAGCCCTGGAGCTGCATGACCCTCCCTGGCCACATCCTCGATGAACCCAGACTGCCTTCAGCTGGCCTTAGAACCTGAAATAACGATTTACTGCCCTTCCCTGACTCCTAGCCAGTGACCATGACCCCAAACCCCTTACTGATGACTAACAACACAAAATTACTGCAAATCATGGGACGTTTTTCTTCGTGTATGTGTGTGTGTTACACTCTCAAAGAAAGGAAAACCTGTTTGCTGGCGATACAAAGAAAACTAAGATTAAACTCTCTCTGTCCAGTAGGGCGGGGATGGAGGGGACTCAGGGGTCACACCACCACTAACTGGGGCATGAACTCACACCAGCCCATCACCGGGGCAATAGATGAAGGACGGAGCTGCAGAGCCGAGAAGCCCCGTCCCCGTAACTCGTCTCGAGAAGAATCTGTTCAGAACTGAACAGGCGGCGGGACTTGACCCAGGAGAAACGCCGCAGGTGGCGCTGTCAGTGCAAACCAAGGCCCTAGTGGCACCGCCCCCGCCCACAGACAAATCCGAGTTTACCAGTATTTTCCTCCTTCATGTAAAAACACGGGCGGCGCGCGCGCCCAAAGTGCTTCTAAAGCGTCTTCAGTTTTTAGGCGTCTGTCTGAGCCGAGGCCTCGGACCCGCCTGCCAGGGAAAGATGGCGACGAAAAGTTGTTTTGGAGGCGCTCGGACCCGCCACACCCATGTCTAAAGCCAGAGGGTCCGAGGGACATGAAGACCTAGGTGACACCCATTCCTCAAGCGCGCTTTTTTGTGGCCAGAAAAAAAACACGAGAATGAAGAGAACGCGCGAGAAGGCGCCCGCGCGCCCCCTCCTCCCGGGGCTGGGGCGCCCCCAGGACATCAACCAGGCTTTCAAAACCGTGCCCGATACATTCCTCCAACCAGCGAAAAGGGCAAACTGAGCCCAACAAACGCGAACCCCCCTCGAGACAGAACCTGCTCCTGTCCAATGAAACCCAGGATGGAAACCACGGGCTGTCGGGGCTGCGCCAACCGGCGAGCGGGCGGGACTTTCGAACCACTTTCGGGCCTAATGGAGAAAGTGGCCGGTGTCCCTGGGAGTCGCCTTCCTGCCCGCGAGCGTGGGACGGGGCCGCTTCCGCTCCGCTGACCAGGAACCACGCCCGCAGGACACCGGCCACGGGCGGCCCCCTCCCGGCAGCTCGGTTCCCAACGGGGATGGCTTCCTGTCACCCCCCCAGCCGTGCCCTTCCCACCGCCCGCATACTAAGTACCTCCAACGACTGCGGTAGAAAGAAAGGTTAAAAAAGGGGGGGGGAGGCAAATGGAGTGCTCAGCGCTTTTTTGAGATCAGTGGTGGCTCTGAAAAGAGCCTTTTTGGGTTTTAGAAGCAGATGTTCAGACACCCTACTTCTTTTTGGGGGCAGCCTTCTTAGCTTTGGCAACCTTGGGCTTGGCGGCCTTGGGCTTCACCGCCTTGGTTGCGCTCTTGGCGACCTTCTTGAGCTTGGCCGCCTTGGGTTTCTTCGGGCTCTTGGCGGCTTTCTTGGTCACGGCCGCCGCCGCCGGCTTCTTCGCCTTCTTCGGGGTCTTCTTGGCGCTCTTCTTGGGGGTGGCGGCCCCCGCAGCCTTCTTGGCCTTCTTGGCGGCGCCCGCGGGCTTCCTGGGCTTGGCCGCGCCCGCCTTCTTGGCCTTGGGCTTGGCGTCGCCGGAGGCCGCCTTCTTGTTGAGCTTGAAGGAGCCCGAGGCGCCGGTGCCCTTGGTCTGCACCAGGGTGCCCTTGCTCACCAGGCTCCTGAGGCCCAGCTTGATGCGGCTGTTGTTCTTCTCCACGTCGTAGCCCGCGGCCGCCAGCGCCTTCTTGAGCGCGGCCAGCGACACGCCGCTGCGCTCCTTGGACGCGGCCACGGCCTTGGTGATGAGCTCGGACACCGGCGGCCCCGACGCCTTGCGGCGGACCCCCGAAGGCTTCTTGGGCGCCTTCTTCTTGGCGGGGGCCTTGTCCGCGGGAGGCGCGGCGGCGGGTGCGGCGGGAGCGGTCTCGGACATGGCGACGACCTGGGACTCGGGAAAGTGGCGAAGCGCCGATGGGGCGCCGCGGGCCGCGCCGTATATATAGGGCGCCGGGCGCGCTGATTGGTGCTCCGCCGCCGGCCGGCTGGCAGGCTCCGAGCCGCCGCGCGGCGCCCAAGTTGTGTTTGTTACGCTTCACAAAAGGGGGAAAATATCGAAACCCCCCGCGCCCAGTCGCCCGGGGTGGGTCGGGAGAGAACCCCAGGAGCCTCGGGTCCCTCGCTCTGCATTTATTTTTTCTGTAACTGCGAAGACTCCGCACCCAGGCGTCCCCAAGTCCCCCAACTCCGAGGGAACTCCAGGACAGCCGGAGACCACTTTCTGTTTTTCTTCTAAATTACCTGTTCGCTCCTTTGCCCTCGAAAGTTCTTTCTCTCAGGGGTGGTTGGGCACATGTTTACCTTCTTAGGGGGACAAAAATCTAAGTGGTTTTCATTTAAAATTTCCCGATAATTCTGTTTCTTCGCAAGGGAAGTAACACAGGTCCTCTTTGAATTCTGCGTAGGGACCCACAGGAACTGGGGACTGGGACCCGGTTCTGGACCAGCCCAAAGCAGTCAGCGAGGGAGGAGAGGGGCTCCTACGTTCCGGAGGGGTCCCGGGTGGTGGCGGCTTAGAGACTTTAGTGTTTGATTTGAAGACATTGGAACTCTGGCTCAAATCCGTCTTCTCCTAGATGGGGGCGGGGCACGCTTTTCACTTTCCAAAGGCGAGAAATTGGGCTGTTTTTAAAAAGCTCTGAGGTTCCCCTCTGCGTTGTTCAAGGCACGGGGTTTGGTCCTCAAGAACAGGCGTATGAGAGAAGAAGGAAGACCCCCTAAGCCTGCAAGGTGCCCCCAAAAGACGTGGCAGCGAGCAACATTGAGATGATTTGTTTTCAAACAAGCACTTATTTATCTTTGTATGCAGCAATAAAGAGATGAATGTTGGCACATGAAAATGTTGGGTTTCCTCCAGTAACAATATCTAACAGGTCATGACATAGAAGGACACCCTCTAATGTGAACTCAAACATATAGATGGAAATAAAGCTACTGTCTTTAATAAGAGCCACTTTGACTTTATAGGATGCACTATCGACTTGAAACATAAAAAAAAAAAAAAAAAAAAAAAAAAGGATAGCAAAATTTAAAACAGAAATAGAGGAAAAGTACTAGAACATATAAGGTCTACCCTTTTTTGTTGATGAGTTCACCTCTTCCCACCCCTCTAGAGTTGGGCTTATGTATTCCACTGCAAAATTTTCTTTGCCACTTTAACTTTTGTTACTTCCTATTTCGTTCTTTGGTTCTAAGCAATTGCAATTTATTCTTGAGAGAAAAGGCTGAGTAACTGTTCTGCTCATATATTTAATATAAATATATTTTATGTTTAAGGACAAAGGAAGTATGAGGACTCACCAGAAATTCCTGTTTAAACGTGTCTATGTGAAAATATGTGATAAAGGTGTCAGGCTTAGATTGTGCTGATGAAAAGTGTGAGTGCAAAGTCTCAAGGTCAGGGTGGTTCTTACTAAATGCAATTCTTTCTAAATGTTAAAATGTAGCACAAGATTTTGCAGACACAGGGGCAAACCTGATGAACTTGACCAGGTTTAGCCCACTGCAAAGAAGTCAAGTGTAAATAGCCAAATCCGGATAAGCTGAGCCAACTGCAAAGAAGAAATCAGCATGTAATTAACCAAACAGTGTATATAAGCCACATCTAAGCCTTTCTCCTGGGGACAGAGCTTTGAAAATTATTCCCCTAACTCCCTTACTTGTCACAGTTAAAAAAATAAAAACTTTTCTTCCAACAAGACTTGTGTGCCTTTGGCTCAGACACTAACAAGCGGCAAACCCATTGTGGTAGGTTACAAAAGGGGTTGTACAGATAAATTCAATGATGAATGAAAAAGCAGGCATCTTGTTTTAGACTAAGGATAACCCCGTGGTTTCACTGAATAACATTCGTTCAACATTTAAAAACTGTCTGCTCCTGATCACGTGCTCTGGGAATTAACAACCTGACAAGATTAGTAATGGGTGAATTAGCAGCTGTAAGCAATACTTTAGACCTGTCATCCATCAGTGTGACTTTGGGTCTAAGAATTTTAACAAATTATTCACACTGTATAATTAAGGCACCTTCACCATCCTAATATATTTTGGTAAAAATAAGTGGGGAGAGCTGAGGACTTGGCAGGGTCACCAGCTCCTTCCCAAGCTGCTGTCTCTCTTCCCTCTTTTCTGCGTTATCAGCTCAGCTGTTCACCTGCAGGCATGCCGGTGCCGTGGCTGCTCTTACTCGCCTGGTCCCTTGGTGACCCAGGAAAAAAAGGTTTTAATTACTCCCAGCTGGGGTCGATAAAGAGGTTTATTAACATCAGATTAGCTACCTGCAAAAGCAGACATGGTAGGAGGAAGAAGTGAGAGAAAACAGCAACTGTGGGCTCTTGATCCATACACCCGCCCTGCCACTTCCCTCACCCTCCTCGGAGGGCGTCTGCTGTTTGAGCCTCTCCCTTCATCCAGCTCCACCACTGCCTTTTGCAACTGACATTCTGCTCTGCATATTTCAACTTTGTTCATCAGCTTTCCAGACCTGAAGAATAAGAAATAAAGTTAGCCAACCCATTACATTCAGGATATGTGTACATATGAGAATGCACAGTTTATCGCATTGCAATATTTAACTGCATTCTCCTTGAGGCCATCGATTTTGAATGGAAAGATCACATCATTCATCTGAATTTTACCTTGGAGCTAACTGTAATGGTCTTTTGTTGCTCACAGACTTGTTAAATCTTATTTCAAAGCCTGAGACCCTATGGGACATCTATCAGATCTCAGGTTGATTTCAAGTTGATGGTGAAAAAGTTTTGTATCTTCCAATATTTAGAACAATTTCCAGAGATTCTGACTCTAGAGCCCTTATGACAAGCTAAATGTCAAAGTACAATTTTCAAAAAGTTCAAACACAATTCCTGCATGCAGTGAGCTCATGCATGGGTCAAGGGATGGTTTACGTCCCTAGGGAGGGAGGGAGTGGGAAGACAAAGTTAGGTCCAAGCAGGACACCCGAGAATGGAATGTACATTTCGTCAGAGAAAGAAAGAATCCTAGAAGCCTGAAAAATCAAATACAAAATTGTTTCATATCCTACTGGTCAATACTACGACAACTTGTAGGGTTATCTTTCCTACTGGAAAGTATTCATTTGCATCTCTACTGGACAGAACCCTTATTAACGTATCAATCATCTACAAGTGCAAGTCTAATTTTTACATACTCTGGGCCTAATATAAAGTAGATATAAAGTGGAGGTTACCTCAGCTAAAGCGGTGCTGTCCAGTATGATAGCTATTAGCCAGATTTGGCCACTGAGCCCTTGTAATGTGTCTAGACTGACTTGAAATGTTTTATGACTGTAAAATACACACAAGACTTTGAAGACTTACCATTCAAAAGGGGTGTGTGTGTGTGCATGTGTGTGGTAGGTGAGCACAGAACCCAGGCCCATCACCATCGCTCAGAATCTACCCCGCTTCCCTGTGCTTGGAGATCCCTCCTTGCCCAGCAGTCACTGGGAAAAGATGACCGTGACACTCACATGGTCATCCAGTCCCTGCCCCCTGCCTCCCAGGGGTGAGCAGACCGCCAGTGTCCAGCACATGAGGCTGCCAGGGAGAACTGTGCGGTGCCATGCCTGAGAGGGGCCGAGGAACTCCATCCCGCCGCCCTGTTTACTAGGAACACACCTGGCCCTGCTTAAGTTCTGCAGAACTTCTGATTGGGCTCTTCCCCCAGAACCAACGGCGTTTACAAGACAGCCTGCTGTTTGTCCTGAAGGACACCAGATGGCGCTCCTAACCAACAGTGCTCATCTTAGAAGCTTTGTTCCAATTTCTTAGCCTTCCTCTACGTATTAATGTCTAATAATAATTTTTTTATTTTAAATTTTTTATTTAAACTCTGAACTGTTCTTTTATTTCTTTTGGTGAGCAGAAGTCATTAGCCCATTTTACAGACGATGATCCCGAGGCCACTGGAAGCCCCGAGACTGCAGTAAATCCATATAGGTCAACAAGAACATGGGAGGAACAAATTAACAGTTTTTCTGGTCCAAGTGGTCTAGAAAAATCATGCTGAATGATTCATTCATTTATTCTACAAAGAACTAATCAGCACTGTTCTGGCTTCATGGAACAAGAGGGTAAATAGGACAAACTCTACCCTTATTTATGGTGGGGTTTAGAGGATAGGGGGACCTAAGAAAAAGTAATATTGTCTGTGAAAATGGTCAGAGCGGACATGAAAAGGAGGGAACAATTAGACACAGGGTCTAGACATAAACATACTCCTACAAAAGAACTTTTCAAATACTAAATTACTTCTTTTCATTTTTAAAGTAAAATGACCACACTGTGAAGGAAGCTGACACCCCTCCCCACCCCCCAAAAACCTGTATGTGCAAAGATAGTAACACTGCAACTGGCTCTTCCCTAATAATGAAAAAAATTTTGAGATTCCTGGTTAAGGTATATCAGTTGGGACAATTACGATAGCAATAATAAATGTATTAAACGCTATGTACTCATAAGGATAAGATGATTGAAAGGGTTTGTGACTTTGCAGTGTGCCTAAGATCAGCCCGGCACCCTGATTGTAACACACACATAAAACCCCCAAACGTCACTGCACTAAAGTGTAGGTTGTAGAAAAGTCCAACAGTAGAGATCCCCCTTGCTATCGTGACATACAAAACAAATCGTTTAATCAAATTAAAACTGCCCAGTTGCTAACTAGTAATTGCAAAGAGTTTTAGGTAAAGAATTAAGCCATTTTTCAGAACTGAGTTTTAACCTTTACAGTTTCCAAGGCCACTTGAGTTGCTGGAAGATAAGTTAGTAGATACCTTCTGGCCTCACCCCTGCCACCTGAAGGCGTTCACAGAGGAGGGTGCTGTTTGCTCTTGTGGCCACTAGATGGCGCGCAAATGAAAACAGCCCTTGGCA